GTGTCATCTGTAACTGAGCCGTTGGAACCCACAGTGACTCTGTGACACGTGTAATTACACACACAGGTGGTACTGCACAAGTAGTTGCATGTAAAACTGCGTATTTAGCAACAAACCACTTCTAACCGTCATAGACTGATCCTGCTGACCAGATGCTTCGTTGCTTTGCTTGGAAATGCACTAGCTAGCACACTGCTAGCATTGCATGCTAAAGTTTAAAATAGGAGCTCCTACCTGAGCATGGATCTCCAGTTTAAAATAAATATTGTGTATTGCTGTTTTTCAGACAAGTCTATCATCATGTGGAAACTGACCCGTGATGAGACCAACTATGGCATCCCCCAGCGTTCTCTGAAGGGCCACTCTCACTTCGTAAGTGATGTTGTCATCTCCTCAGATGGACAGTTTGCCCTGTCAGGTGCCTGGGATCACACCCTCCGCCTGTGGGACCTCACCACGTAAGTTTCTTCTGTATTGGATCGATGATTGAGAGTCAAGGTGGAAAACTGCTTCTTTCAATGTACATGATTTGTCTATGGAGCACCACTTAAGCCACAGTTGTAACTTAATAACTCAGTGCAGTTGGAGCTTAACATAATAAAAACACTGGGTAAAGAGTAGTAGGTTTCTTCATGTTGTACTGTTTTGTATGTTTGTTTTTCTCCTGAACATCTGGTACCAAAATGACAGTCTAAAAAAAATGTATGCTGCCAGTTTACCATCAGTTAGTTGCAACTCTCTGCTGAACTGCATAGTGACTGCGTCAGGCCTTTCTTTCTCCACTCTTTTGTTTGGTCAAATCAAATATAGATACAGCCTAAGTTGTTTAAATCTGGCCATGTTGCTTGACTTTGCAACAGCTTCATTGATCAGAGCACCCTATTTAATAGTGGCTCGTATCAAGGTTGGACAGTATGGCTCAGCTCTAAAATTATATGTGTCCCACGTTTCTCCTGAATTGTCTCTAAATAAATTTTGTTTAGCCAGATGGTAATAAATGCCATTAGATTAGATAATCCTTTAACAGATAACTTTTGTTAGTAGGCCAGTATGATCACTTTAAATTGGCCAGCCAACACTGCAAACTGCCATCCAATGTAGTCTGAAAGAGTATTATGGAGTTCTACGAACTTTATTCCTCCCACTTTCCTGAAATTAAGTTTTAGTAATTTAGGTTCTGTTTCAAAACTCAAAGCACGCTGGCATTAAATGCTGTACTTTGTTATTATCCATCCATGAAGGCCACAGTCATAAAGCTTAAGTCCAGTAATCATTTTAAACAGTCTGATTTCCCAGCAAAGTCCCAGCTATGAAAGGTAGCTGATTTTGTTTGTATCAATAGAAATTCATAGAATTAAAGTTTTGTCTTTACTTACGTTTCCATTTACTACAAGAAGTACCCCGACTGAAAATCTGAAATGGAACATTGCTGTAATTTTTTTCCTCAATGTTAATTGAACTCAATTTGCTCATTGGAAACAATTTTTCACCTGAATGTTTTTTTTGTTTGTTTGTTTTGTCTTTTTTTCCCCATCTATTTAGGAAGTTATTTGCTTTTGATCTGTGCTGGACTCAATGCTGTTGCAACTCAATTATACTTTTTCATTGTGATGCAGTTCATGGAGCCTGTTTTAGTGGACTGTGAATTCCACAGCTTTGTACAATGAGTCATGATTTTCAGCCTTTGCAGTGTGAACATAGACGCATGAAATCGTTTAGGGACAAAGTTATCCTGACTGTTGAATAGCATTTAGCTGCAGCAACAGTAGACATGCTCATGATTCTAAATGAGTGTCGTAAGATGCAAAGGTGTGTTATTCATCTGAAATGTTTGTATGTTCCCACAGTGGCCTCACTACCCGCTCATTTGTTGGACACACCAAGGATGTTTTGAGCGTGGCTTTTTCTGCTGATAACCGCCAGATTGTGTCTGGCTCCCGAGACAAGACCATCAAGCTGTGGAACACTCTTGGAGTCTGCAAGTACACCATCCAGGTGAGCCGCCAACTCGTGCTGCTTCCACGCAAGTTGCAGTCTGTCTTTCTGTCTTTGTGTCAGTGGAAATAGATTTTAATTATGGTGTTGTTACCTTGAACTGCTTATTAGTTAGATTTTTGAACTGGTGGCTTAAGCTTTATCAAACACAGTTCAAATTGATGTCCAAACCCAAACTTGCTGCTCAGTGTGTATAGTGGAAACGATACTGAACTGGCTTTTTACTGCAGTTGGTTGATTGTAATATTGCCAGGTCTTAATATAGTCAACAAATGATGCAGTTGCCATAGTTGGCTGAACCTGTAGAGTATTTGGCTTTAATGTTAACAAGATACCAAACAAAACACTTTACTGTTAGGATTTGTTTTCCCACATTGCTTGCCTGTTCATAGTGATTTCTTGTGGCTGTAACAAATTAAACAGTGAAGTCGGGCATCCAGAGAATCTTGCATCAACAATTTATGTACCTCTTTGATTTACAGGAAGAGAGCCATTCTGAGTGGGTATCTTGCGTTCGCTTCTCCCCCAACAGCAGCAACCCCATCATTGTCTCTTGCGGATGGGACAAGATGGTCAAGGTATGTTGTTCTTTTGAAAACCTCCCCCTCAGTTTTTGCCTCAGAGTTCTCATCCTTGTGACTGTAGATTAGAAAAAGGACCTAAAGGAAAGTTGGTCTGAACTGGTTTGTTTGCTCAATGGTTTAAAAAAATAAAAATAGAAATTGCATGTATTTCCTGACACCCTTACTGATGAGAATTCTTGTGTTTAGAGAACAAGCCAGATAGCTTTATATGATGATGGTAATAGCAACTCAGATGTAATACAGTCTGCCTGTCCTTTGCTTGAAGGTGTGGAACCTGGCCAACTGCAAGCTGAAGACCAACCACATTGGCCACACTGGCTTCCTGAACACAGTGACCGTCTCTCCTGATGGCTCCCTGTGTGCTTCTGGTGGAAAGGTAAGATACACGTCTTTTTGTACACTACCATAGAGGGGTTTTTGATATCTCCTCACCAGTTCTGAACTCAGTGAAAGTCCCAGTTTAGGCCCAGCTTGCAGGCTTCAGCAGTGATGAATACTTTACATGCTCCTGTTCAACAGTGATGACAAAAGAGGCTGTTTCTGAGTGATACCTGCACTTAAAAAGTCACTGGGCTAGTGCTGAAGATTTGTAAACGTGCTCATGCATCAAACTCTGTGACGGTTAGCTGTTCAGAATCATGTAAAGATCTTGGAAATAGTAACTGAAGCATATCTCCTTTCTTTCCATCCATCCAGGACGGCCAGGCCATGCTGTGGGACCTGAATGAGGGCAAACACCTCTACACCCTGGACAGCGGTGACACCATCAATGCCCTGTGCTTCAGCCCCAACCGTTACTGGCTCTGTGCCGCCACTGGCCCCAGCATTAAGATCTGGGTAAGACTTAATGCTATATACCTCATGATCAGCATATACATGGTGTAAAATTAAAGGTGCAGCATAAAGAACAGTGATGAAACTTCCAATGCCAACTGTACTCTTTTGATGATATCAGAGGCTGTTTCTGAGCTCAGGCCTTGTCCAACTTGTTAACTCAGTGATACATTTTGATACCTTAACTTCTGTCCTTCAACTTTTTGTAATTCAGTGATTGCACTACTTGTGGTTTCTCTTCCCGTGTAGGATCTGGAGGGCAAGATCATTGTGGATGAGCTGAGACAGGAAGTGATCAGCACAAACAGCAAGGCTGAACCCCCACAGTGTACCTCCCTGGCATGGTCTGCTGACGGACAGGTACGGAACATTCAGCTCTGTCGGACCTTTCAGCACAGATGACTAACTAGTCCAGTTAGTGGGTTTAGTGTTGCGTCCCCAGTGATTATACCCATTCACTTTTAACTCTGATGTCCACTGGTGACAGTCCTGCAAATATGAGGGGCACTAGAAACACTTTTCGTTTATTAATACACTATAAAATAATAAAACATGCACATTTATGAATTTAATTGATAACTTTCCTCCCCCTTTATTTCTTTACAGACCCTGTTTGCTGGCTACACTGACAACCTGATCAGAGTGTGGCAGGTTACTATTGGAACTCGATAAGAAGCCCTCGTTTCAGCAACTTTGAATAAAAGACTGTTTGAAAAAGAACGTGTGCCGTCTTGGTGTCAACATTCTGTAATATTGATGGTTCTAAAAGATGCAAAAAGTAATCAAAGCTAAAACTTTAGCAAACTTTGCATTGCAGTGGGGGGACATCGAACTTTTGTTCTTAGGTCTTGAAGATATTTCACCTCTCGTCCAAGAGGCTTCTTCAGGATAATGTGTGAGATGCGTGTCCAGTTGCTTTCTACAGAAACATCAAGACTTGGGTGACAGTTGACACATCAGCAGGAACAACATTTTATTACAAACCGCAAAGTGTACATTTGCAAAAATGGTGTCATGCAAATAGAAGTAAAACAGATGTTTAAAAATGTGTCTAAAGTTTGGTTTAGAAAGGAAAAAATTTCAAGATTAGAAGTTAAAATAAAATACAATTGCGTTTTTCAGCACCAGTTGTGGTGTAAACTAGAAAATAAGGAACCTGTTTATTGTGGATCTAACATATTGATGCAATTCGTGTATAAAACACGAGCAAATCAAGACAAGCTGATATTTGTTAAAAAAATATGTGGCTGTTGTAAATATTTGCCAAGATTTAGGCGTTTGTAAAGTTTTTGTTGTCCTGTCTGGGGTGCCGTAGCCATGAAACAGTATCTTAGCAACCAGAATACAGACATGCTGAATGTGAAGCGGTGGTTTAAATGACGGTAGCAGCTTTGTCGTTTTTGTTTTGTTTTGTTTTGTTTCTTTAGAAAGAATATGAATTTAAGCGACGCACGGTGTTTCGTGTAATCCAGTGTTGCTAATGTGAACTTAAATACTGCCTAACAGTGTTCCGTTGACTGGTTCCATCGTAATTCTAGCAACAGGTTTCATTAGCTTGTGTGAGCTAATGTTAGCATCCAGGTGAAAATGGAGCAAACCTCACGTCCTCGTATTTATGTAGAAAGAACACTGGCCATCATCAAACCAGATGCACATCACAAAGCTGAGGAGATTGAGGATACCATCCTCAAGGCGGGCTTTATCATCCTGCAGGTCAGTTCTAAGTCCTAATACAAAACACAGAGGTGGGCGCAGCAACATTAACGTCTGCACACTATAGGACTGTAATGTGTCGGGAAGTGGTTGATTTAGCTGATGATTTTTGAGGCAATCATTTGTGTAATTATTTTTTACAGTGAAATGCAACCGCAAAATGCATGTTTCTCCGACTGTGTATATAGCTTGACCAATGCAATGCTGATATAATCATCAGATTTATAAATATAGTCGGTATTGGCTGACGTGTAACAAGTAGTTGAAGTATAAAAATGAAAGAGGAAAAAAAAAAAAAAGAAACTGTCGCCATCATATAGTTTGTCCACTAGAGGGCGTTAGCAATATTCAGGCAATCATGAATAGTATTGTATCAATGACAGTACAATTTTACCATTTTGTCAAACTCTTTAGCAGAAAGATGTACATTGGCCACAAATTTCAGTGTCACTAAGTTTTTAATCACATTTGGAGAACAAAATAATCTAGTAAGTAATGAAGAACCAAGAAAAATGTATGTGATTTTGCATTTTCTAATTATGTTTGTCAAATCGTGCAGTATTCTCCAACAACTTGGATTTTTTTCTTGGACATTAATTGCTCATTCCTGTTTATACATGAATTACCATGTAGATGATCTCAGTGACACCCCCCCTTTAGTAGTTTGTAAAAATTAATCTGAACCATCTGAAGTGGTTAATCGTATTCACTAGGTTTGGTTCATCTCTCTGCTCATTTCACTGAAATGTCCAACACTTAATCCCTGTTGAAGAAGCGGAAGCTGCATCTAAGTCCAGAGCAGTGCAGCGACTTCTACGCAGACCAGTATGGAACGCTCTTCTTTCCCAGCATGACAGCCTTCATGAGCTCAGGCCCTATCATTGCCTTGATGCTGGCTCGCGACAACGCTATTGCCCACTGGAAGTCCATCATAGGGCCTGTCAGCAGCACCAAGGCCAGAGAAACTCATCCAGAATGGTCAGGCCTACACATTTCTAAATATACGTGTGTGTGTGTGTGTGTGTGTGCATTTAAATTACATGATAAGCATTTCTGCATTTTATGAAAGGCTGATCATGGAAAGTGTAGTGTGCTTATGAATCATCCTGTAATCCTTGTCATAAAATAATTCAAGATATTGAAGGTGCATCAAATATCTGCTGAGAAACAAAATATATAAAATAAACCTTCAGTATACGTTAAATAGCTTTCAATTACTATGAATTTTCCTACCCAAATATAAGTTCTGTAGATGTTCCATATTATGTGAGCGTGCCCACATTATGGTGTCACAAATAAATGGCTATTTCTGCTCTCCGATGATTCTCCAACTATTATAATGCACAGTGCAAAGTTTACCGTGCCCTTTGAGTCTGTGCCATCCCATGACTTTGTATATTAACTTTTATTTTACATAGGGGTAAAGGTCTGCACTATGACAACAAGACTGGCACTGATATAAATAAATATGCTGTATTTTTTTGCAGCCTTAGGGCAAAATATGGCACTTCTGACCTGAAAAACGCACTACATGGCAGCGAGTCATTTCCTGCAGCTGTGAGAGAGATCAGATTCATGTTCCCAAACTGTAAGTATCTCACAGATGCTGTTTTTCACATAGAGATTCAGTTAATACTTACAATTCACGCGGTCTCTCTGTGTCTGCAGCTGTAATTGAGCCCTTTCCCTCAAGAGAAGCAACCGAACAATACCTGAGCAGGTATGTATACCCAGTTCTGCGACGTGGGCTCATTGAGCTTTGCAAGGAGAAGCCTCTCCACCCCTGTGTAAGTATTCATGTGAAATATGTTACAATAAACAGATTTATTCCCTGGGTATTTACAGTATTTCTTGCTTTTAAACATCGTTGTTGCCATATTGATTGCTGGTGCCGAGTTTTGCCTGACGTCTTCCTCCATCATCCTGCACTTTCAATAGACTTGGCTCGCTGACTGGCTGATTAAAAACGATCCAAACAGTCCTCAAATATGTGATGGAGGCATTGTGGAAGAACAAGAGCAGCAGGGGGACAGGGAATAGAGAAGGACAAATACATCTTTTCTGTTCATTTTTTTCTTTTTTGATAAATTAATTGGTTCAGTGCTATGAAGACATGAAATGTATTTTCAAGACTGTTCATTTGTGTTGTTTGTTTTTTTGTATAAATCAGAATTGCCTGGTATATCAGTCAGTGGGTTAGAACATCTGCATTTGGTGAAGTGAACGTAGTTGCACTGAAACAAAATGGACGAGTTGTATGACCTCATTTGAGATGAGAACGTTAACTAGGTTGGACTAGATAATGTAATTTGGTTTACCTGCTATGACCTGCTTCTGATCCTGTCCCTCCTCTGGAAATGGTTTGCAAACACAAAATGTACCATTTTTAAAGTGCTTATTTGTGCATGTGGATATTTAATAAATGTGTTACCGAATGTCCAAAGTCGATTATTTCCGTTGGTTATATGGAGTGATAAGTGATTAAGTGGCAACTAACAGACAGACAATTTTGAAACAGAATTCCAAGTACAGTTCCAGCATTAGCATTATGTTGTGTTTTTGTTTTTCAGCAATCATAAAAAGTATTTTTGGAAAAAGACTGATTGTAAATAATTGCTTGTACCCAGTGTTCAAGGCCATTTTGTTCTGCAATATCTAACTATGTTTGTAGCTTTGTATGTATGTGGTCCCTCGACAATGATAGTATGACATAAAGCACTTCTGGCTATAAAACAAGAAAGAGATAGAAAGATCTATTAAGTGTGTTTCTTTTTATCGAACAGACCCAAAGATGGTACTTACTTGAAACTGTGCATTCAGAGTCAGCTTTATTGGCCAAGGATGTGTGCACAAAGAGGGATTTGAGTCTGTCTTTTTTTTTTTTTTTTGCTCTGACATTACTTACACACACACACAAACAAACACTTGCATATTTGCGTTGAAACAAGGTCAACAAGTTAAAGAAATGAAAATGAGTGTTTGATGCATGTAAAACAGCATGTTAAAAGTGAACCCAAACTAGTGCAAATTTTGCAGGTTCTGATGACAGGTATAAATATAGATATTATCAGGTATGTAATATATATCAGAGTGATGGTCTGAAGGAAGAAAGAGAAAATTATGGTTTCATTAATTACCACAAAATCCCCAATGAAACAGCTTGTAACCTGATTTCAGGCTTCTACCATGATGATGTAATAATAATAATTATTTCATAGTATCGCTGTCATTGTATCCATCCCATGTTCAACATTTACACCCAAAATAGATTTCCTCAGCAGCCACTTGCAGCCTAATGTCAATTATTGGTAATGTACGGGGACACTACGGTTTACATTTTTGGACAGTTTCCACACACTGTCCGGGTGACGGCTGTTGCGTTAGACGACATTTTCTGTCGGATTCAGAGTTAATTTGAATTGGAATCGGTAGAAATATACCGCTCACGGTTGCAACACACCGGTGTGGTTGTTTAATTCAGCTGAGTGTGGTTGAAATTGCCGTGCAGTGAACACATCATTTTCAGAAGCAGAAAAGGTACTCTGAGTTCCTTCCTGTGTTCCGAGGGCGTGAACATCTTCTGCAAAAAAAAAACAGAAAAGAAAACGACAGTCGTCTCTAATTGGACGAAACTGTGAGTGACAGCAGGGATCAACCAATTAGATGACTCCTCCGCAGAAATGGCGTTTTTTTCTGCCGGTTCTAGAAAACCAACCACGAGTTGTCGTCGTGTGGGAGAATCCATCTTGAAGAGAGCTCTCCGGTTGTGTGACCAGTAAGCAGATTTTTTCTACTTCTTTAGCCTGTTTTTTTCATTAGGTTGTCACGTAAGTAGTACGATTCTTGTAGTCTTTTCATGTTGTTTTCTGGTAAATGTGGATAAAATGTGTGTTATTGTTTAAAAAAAACAAATGTACACATATATTGCGGCCAGTTCGGCCTCTGAATTACGTAACTGCGAATGTGAGTTGTCCGGGCTCGGTTTATCAGTGTGATACAGATGGTTGCAACTTTTCTAATCTTTGCCTCCAGCAGACATGTACTCAGACATTGGTTAGTTATCTTGTTGTGTAAGCAAGCTGTTGCCATTTCTCGGCTCTCTACAACAAATCGGGCTCTCCTTGAATGTATGGAACGCGTTAGCGCCGGCCAAAATGGTGGGAAATGCACGTATTGGCACCATGTAAATGGCGAGGCATGTACGGCATGACAGATTATATAACCGCCACAATTTCATAACTTAATTGTTATTTTTCCTTCACGGGCTCAGGCGTAATCGTGCAAAATGTCTGAGGCAGAGCAGCAGTACATGGAAACATCGGAAAACGGCCACGAAGTCGACGATGATTTTAACGGAGCCGGCCACACCGAGGAGGGGAACGACGACAGCGCCGTGAATGACTGCGGAGAGGGAGCAGGGCCCGACACGGACGGGAATTCGCAAAACGGCGGCACGGAGGGCGGCCAGATCGACGCCAGCAAAGGCGAGGAGGATGCAGGGTGAGTTTTTTAAAAAATGACTTGGTATTTCAGGAAACCGTTAGTCACGATAAGCACCGGCGGTTTGCCATGTTTCTTTGTTCAGCCGGCCTTTTGTTGGCGCCATGTGCAGAGCGGAGGGGGGATGGGCGCTCCAGCAGGGATTACATCGAGCACGTAATGGCTCATGAAAAACTATAGATACGAGGCGTCTGCGCTGCTCGTATCGTGGAAATGTTCTGTTTGTTTGAATTATTGTTGTTTAAAAAAAAAAAGCTCGAAGCCACTGCAGCCTCCCCCCCTACGTCACTGGGTCAACAGATGTACTGGAACAGTGTGTACGTTGTGTATATTTACACCCCCCCCTCCTGCCCTGCACCACCCCCCACCGCCATAACATGAAGCTGGAGTAGGGGGTGCTGCTGCTAAACACGTCCCTCTGTCTGTGCACAGGAAAATGTTCGTCGGTGGTCTCAGCTGGGACACCAGCAAGAAGGATCTTAAGGATTACTTCTCTAAATTTGGTGAGGTGACAGACTGCACCATCAAGATGGACCAGGCAACCGGCAGGTCAAGAGGCTTTGGCTTCATTCTCTTCAAAGATGCTGCCAGCGTAGACAAGGTGAGTGGGGAGGCAACTGTGTCGGAACATAAACCGCACCAAGGTATTTACAAGGTGGGATGTTTGAAATGTTTTCTTCTTTTTTTAGGTTCTTGAGCAGAAGGAGCACAGGCTAGATGGCCGACAGATTGACCCCAAGAAAGCCATGGCCATGAAGAAGGATCCTGTCAAGAAAATCTTTGTGGGAGGCCTTAACCCTGACACTTCAAAGGAAGTCATTCAGGAGTACTTTGGGACCTTTGGAGAGGTATCACATTCAATAGATTTGTCATTGCAGTGAAGAAATAAATGTCATTGGCTGCTTCAGAAGTTTGTTTTTTCGTCTTTTGCAGATTGAGACCATTGAGCTTCCACAAGATCCAAAGACTGAGAAGAGGAGGGGATTCGTATTTATCACATACAAAGAAGAGGCTCCCGTCAAGAAGGTCATGGAGAAGAAGTACCATAACGTCGGTGGAAGCAAGGTAATGGCGCAGTGCGCATTGGAAATTGGATAAAAATGGACTTGGGTTTGTGATTTTTGCATTGCACACTAAAAGTTAATATCCTCTTGTGTTTTGTTACAGTGTGAAATTAAAATAGCCCAGCCCAAAGAGGTCTACCTGCAGCAGCAGTATGGTGCCCGTGGATACGGCGGACGCGGCAGGGGCCGTGGAGGTAAGCGTCTTAGTATTTATTTATTTATTATATTTTTGAATATGTTTAACTACCTGGATCCTGTGTGCTGGAGAGTTGTGACAAAAGCCTCACCTGTTGTTCCTAGGCCAGGGCCAGAACTGGAATCAAGGCTACAACAACTACTGGAACCAAGGATACAACCAGAACTATAGTTATGGACAGCAAGGCTACGGATATGGCTATGGCAACTATGACTACTCTGCTGGTTATTACGGCTATGGGGCTGGCTACGATTACAGTAAGCGATAAGTGCCCCCAGGAAAAGAAACTGAATGAGAGAAACTTTATTTTCTTGGTCCTCCTTGTTGTACAGAAGAACTCAGTCCCTTTTTCTCTTGTCCTCCAGACCAGGGCAATACAAGCTATGGGAAAACTCCAAGACGTGGAGGCCACCAGAGTAGCTACAAGCCATACTGATCACACGTAGTGCAGGTATGCATTTTTGCATCATCCGTGGTAGTATGAGAACATAGCTGTAACCATTAGTGCCTTTTGACCCCAAAGATCTCCATCTACTCTAAATCCATTCAAGCATTGTGGTGGGGTTAGGGTAGGGCGTGTTGTGGGGTCTGGGATCATTAAAGATGGATTCATTCCACCTGTCAGCCATCTTAAGATGCATCTCTACAAAGACTACTTGATCAATAAGGATTGAGTTGTTGGTGGTTGAGAACAGGAATAAGGACCGTTTCACCTCTCACCAGGGTGCTAGGTGTAATAGCTAGCGGTCGTGTCCCCCCCCCGCCCCCAAAGTGTGTCTGTCCATTCACTGACCTGTCAAACTCATTCATGCACCTGTCTGTCTTTGTGTAACTGCATGCCACAGTTGGTTTATTCTCAGTAACGTTAAGCACCGTGTTTTTCTCTTAAGGTCTAAAGTAAATAAGAAAAAGAGATCCATGGTCTGACCACAGCGAACATGGGCTCTGGCTTTTCCTTTGGAGTTGGCAGAAATTTGGACTCATGCTCCATTTGTACAGATCAAGTGAGGAACTGGGGAAGCAAATGTCACTTTTCCACTTTTTATTTTATATTGTTTTGTGTCCATTTACATTTCCAGTGATGGAAGTGTTATTTTTACTGTACTTTTTGGTACCTTTTTGAATCTAATGTATTGTATGGTTGTATTTTTACATGTCTACTGGATTTACAGACAAGCAGGAGCAAGAGCTTTTAAAGCTCACAAATAAAACATTTTTGCTTTTGTTTTCTTTTGGTGTTTCTAGATCTTTAGTTCTTTTATCCCATGCTGAGTGTTGGATGCGAGTTGCATGGCTTCAGATGTGGGGTGAGGTAAAATAAGGGATTTAAACTAATCAAAGGGTTCTTTGTAAGCGTGTCAAGTGAATGTTTGCAGATGGCTTTGTAGACGAAGACAACCAGCATTTTTTTTTTCTTTTTTTTCCCTTTGGCTTTTAAGGAGATTCTTCCCCCATCATGTCTGCAATTTTAAGTGGCTTTACTAGTGTTATTCAACTCAATGCAAGCCTGTTAATGTAAGAGGGTAATCCCTCTCTCACTGGAAACTCATTCCTCTAGTGTCTTGGGCAAATTGGTAGAAATAAACTTTTGGTTTATATTACACTTGGATCTTTTTGTTATTATTTGTAAACGTAATGTTAAATGTTTTGTACTGTTAAATGGCTTGCTTGTTTTGTCTCAAGTAATGTTAACATCTCTACGGATGCCTCTATGGAAAGCTGTGGCAGAGGGCTTCACTACCTGCAGGATAACTGGCTGAGTGTTAATACCCACCCCACTAGATGTGAAACTGCAATACTTGAGCATTTTTGTGAATGTGTCCACGAGTTAAAAGCTAGTGGTCTGGTAAGTGCTTAACTCAACCATATTGTGTATTAAGAACATGTTGCTGATCAGTGTTAGGTTGAGGCTCTTTAGCCAAACAGTTGCTGCTGTGGGTAAAACACCGTATGAGTCCAGATTAAAAATGTTAACTGTTTATTAGTTTCAGTTTAAAAAAACAAAGTAAGTGTGGAATTTCATTAGTGTTACATTAGCATCTTCTGGTATATATTCATCTTCCAGGTGCAAACAACGTGCTGTAGCCGGCACCACTTAATGTTCATTTGGCTGGTTATCACTGATTGCATCTTCTACCAAAATGGCAACATGAATTGGCGCTGTGAACACCTGGAACAAAACATTTACAATGACATTTCAGTTTACATTTGTACACTTTCCAGTGAATCACAGCAGTGATCCTTACATAACATTATTTAAAATCCACTCTCATTGCTATTTAATCTTTGATACACCATGCTCTGATCAAAAGTTACACTCCTTAAAAACAGTGAGTCCCACGCAGTGATCAGTGTTGAGTAGAAGGAGGCAACATGTTCTGCCAAGTGAGATGAAGCTGTTTGATCTACTGGAGCCTGAAGTATAGATACCCATATCTCTACCTCTGATCGTTATGAATGTGATCACCTGACAATGTCTGATGCAATTAAAAGTTTTCTACAGGTTTAACAAACCTTAGATGTCTTCCTTTTCCAGTTTGAGGTTATTGGCTTTCATGTCTGTAACAACAAGGACTTTGATGAATTTCTCTGTACTCAAATTATAAACATGTGCAATTAACTGTTCATAGACATCTTACACAGTGTTGAGACGTCTACTCGTATGACATGAGGTGTCAAGTGGATGGCATGCGTTCACAGCTGTGAAGGTGGTGTTTGTGTAACTAACCTGTGAGGATGCCATCGATACATTGTGCCACCAGTTCTGCATTATCCATGCTGAAGCACATGGGAGGCTTAAACTTCACCACGTTTTCCCAGGGGCCGTCCGTACTGACACAGATTTGATGCTCTTCCTTCAACCTAACAAAGAGTACACTGAGTTGAGTCCTAGAGCACCTTACTGTAGACACCATGTATACAAAATTCAAGTCATAGGTGGCATCTTTTTTCCCTGAAAGCAACACTTGCAATGTAATCCCACACCTCTTCACCACCCATGCTGCTGTTTCTGTAGCAGGGGTCTTCTTCTTTCTGTCTGTAACCAGCTCAAGTCCCACAAACAGTCCGACACCTCTGCATAAATGGAAAAAGCATGTTTTAGCATTTGAGTAAAGTGGAGAAAAAGAACATACTTACATATGTTTTAAATAAATGGCCTGCCATCATAATTTACAGTTGTACACTGCAAAACTGTCTATGTGAATACTACCAAAATCCATCAATTCTGACGCAATTTCATGCATAACTTCAAATTACTGCAGGAAGGGTAAGACTATTGCATGACACAGTAGGGAGGACTTATTACTTTGAGGTTTAGCAAGGTAAATGCTTGTGATATATGTTAAAAATAGGTTTTTATTACATTTTTTCTCAATTTGTGCTTGTCAGTAACTAATTTTGGACTCTTTGCTAAGGCTCTTTTTTTAAAAAAGATGTTGCTCCCATATCCACACAGGTGTTTTCAATAACTGACTTAACCACTTCAGGTTGCACTTAGGAGTTATGTTGGAAGTGTGCTGAGGTCGATAGGTGCTGTATGATGAACATGGGCCAGTTTTAAAAAGGGTATACCTCTATGTGCTGTTCTTCTGCTGCTACATAACTGGTACATAATGCAAGTGTTTTCTTAGATCACATGATTTTTTTTTTGGTTGTTGAGCAATCCTTGCTGTTAAACTCTAAAAAAATCCTGGGTGATAAATGAGTGTAACCACTTTCAACCACAACATTTGCAAGAAAACTGAAATCTGAGAGACATCAGTCAAGCACTGTACATGCTCACAAGAAAATCCTAACAAGACAAGATAACAAAAGATGATCCTTTATTTATTCTACAGGAAATTCTCGGAAATTTGTAATGTTACAGCAGCAAAGGGAACAGAGCAAAAATGTAGGGCGTATCAGTAAAACAGTAGAACAATGAATATAAACAAGCACTGTTGATAAGGTACAGATTCCTCTACATGAAGAAAATGTAAATATTGCACAGACTCCTCTGAATGTGGAAAATGATGGGTTATTCTATACGAAGAAAAATGCTGATATTGAATAGATTCTGTCCAATATCACATCAGTGAAAACACCCGTGTGGACGTCTTAGCCGGTTGTAGGTGAGATTTAATGAGTGTGTGCAGCGAACTGGTATTAGATGACAACTAAATGTTGGCCAGATTTTCCTTATTGTTTAATATTATTACTACTTTTTACCTGATTTAGTACCATGGATTAAAATAAAAAAAAATACTATTATGACTTTAAAGAGCCTGAGTGCATAAGTCATGGCATCCTTACCTGACATCTCCAATGATTTCATGTCGTGTTTGTAGTTTTGTGAACAAATCCTTAAGATGTGCTCCCACCCTTGTGGCATTTCCTCTTAGGTCCTCCTCCTCTATCACATCGAGGACTGCCAGGCCAATTGCACAGGACACTGGGTTCCCTCCGAACTGCATGTAGTCGGAGAGAAAATAAATGATTCATCTTGATAGTATGAATGCTTGCATAGCAGTAGTACATACAAGAGTGACTTAATAACTTTCAGTCAGTCAAAACAAGCACCTTTACATCAAAAAACACCCCTTTTACCTTTGTATCTTGAAAGACTATCCTCTTACAACTTAATCAGTTCTGTGTTGAATGGTCAACTTATTTCAGATTACATAAGTGTATCAGTATCACTGGTTTAGTACCGTGGCTGCCTCTGGAAGTGGACAAATTTAGAGATGATGCTTTATTAAATGTACTAAGGCTACTGTGTAGTTACCGTATTGAAGTACTCCACTCCGTTCGCTGTGAAAGCTTCTGCTATCTCCACAGTAGTTGCCACACATGCCAAGGGATGCCCATTTCCCATCGGTTTGCCCATCGTCACTATGTCTGGACAGAAATCCTCTCCCTGCAGCTGAAAAGCCCAGAACTGATTTCCCACACGTCCGAAACCGGTCTGCACCTCGTCTGCCACAAACACTCCACCAGCTGAGCGCACGTATCTGCGGAGAGCATGAAGGAGATGCACCACACCACCGTTATTGTAAATGTACCCGAGCAAAAACCAATTAAAACAACAACAACAACCAGAAAACTGAATCACTACTCACTCTGCAACTTTATTTGAGTACCCTTGGGGCAAAATGATCTGTCCTCCAACACTAGGCAACGATTCAGCAAAGAAGGCAGAAATCTATGGGGGATAAAGTCATAAATAAGCAACATAAAGACCATGCACTGGTTGTGTTTATTATAGACCTTTTCCAAGTGTCTCTGTGTAGTGGTGACACCTCTGACAGTCACAGATTGTATTGAGGCTGTGTTAAAGCGTACCTTACGGCCTTTGCTGTGCACTTCTTCTATTAGGTCTTTTACTGTATCAGCATATGCTTGTCCAGGGTTGGGGTGATCTTCCCTGTAAATTCCTCTGTAGGTGTCTGGTAAGGGTGCCTGGGAGGATGAGACGCCTTCTTTGAGATAAGCAAGAGTCCACTGTTGGATAGCGGCTTGTGCAATGATAGTTGTATTACGCTACACACCACATGAACCCATTCTTTCTGTCCTGCCAGTTTCCGGAACTTGTAAGGACTAATGTCGATGAGGGACATTAGATGTCCATGGTAAGCACTAATATAGAGGGAGAGTTCATTGTAATTGAAAAGCAAGTGTATTGTCAGATGGTGAAGGTGTTGTATAGGAACACAATACTTACTGGTCAAGCACTATGACATCGTCATGTTGGGTGTACTGCTGTGCCAAGCGTAAAGCAAGATCGTTGGCCTCTGAACTGTCAGAGAAACAAGATACAAAATCACTGTAAGATCCAATATTATGCCCCTTTCTGCAAAGTCTCTTATGTCTCCAGAATGTGTCTTATAACTTTTCAGCACAAATACCTTTCCGATAACTGTATAATGCCTGGTTTTAGCACTATTCTAGCCTGGCTACAGCTGAGCTGCTGCTGCCCATGTCCCCTTCTGGAAGAGGACTTTCTTTGTGACTGACAGCACAGAGCACCTCAGTTAGCCACATGGCAGAGGACACGGAAAACTTTGGGTGTGTAAGAGCAGGCTTTCCTATCACTGCTAACTTTCTCTCTGAGCAATCATTTTACATGGAAATTTTCACAACACGGACATTTTTAGCTCTCGTATGGTGATTTTGTCATATGATGTTGCTGCTAAGCAGTAGTGCAAAGCAACCACTTGGACATGGCTTTAAAATGACTGCTGGTTGGCATGTTGTCTCAATGAGCTGCAAATCAGTGACAGTTTCATACTTTCATACTAAAAATATGTAAATTCTCCTGTATTAAAATGCAGTACAGATGAGCAAGAGAAGCAAACACTGGTGGAGTTTAGGGTGCATTGAAGCACATATATATGTATTAGTGTATATATATGTATATTAGTCCCAGAACGTGCTAACACAAAGGATTTTCCTATTGTGGTGGTGACATTGTCATCAGTAGTAAAAGTAATCCACTTGGTCTTCAGTTCCTCAGAAGCTGGGAGTGCATGAAGACTCTGGCGTTCACTCTTGCAGCCAACAGCAGACCATTTGGTGTTTTTTGCTGGTGGCAGAAGCTGACAGGTAGCTGCTCTTTGTGAATGGCTCATCTAACAGGCAGCAGGTCGTGAAAGTGCAGGATTATGCAAAGTTTGAATTAGACAATTATTGACGTGCTTGCAGATGAGTAATTTTTTTTTTCCTGGCTTGTAAAGCTGGGAGGATATCTGGTTTTGGAGGGGCATGAAGAATGGCACCTTCATCTTATCAAGTTTTAGTTTACAGCTCCAAGTTTAGAACCACAAAACAATAAAAGTGGACTTTCACCATAATGGACATTTAAGGAATACAATTCTGTGGGATTGTGGGTGTGATAAACAGTATTACTTACCCGGAGTTAACAAAGTAGAAGACACACAGTTTCTCAGGCAGGCTGGCAGCCAGGCGGTCTGCATACAGGACTATGTTGTCATGCAGGAAACGTGAATTTGTGTTCAGGAGGTCCATTTGTGCTGCTGCAGCCTTTGTAATGCTGGGGTGACAATGACCCACTGCATGACACACACAAAGTGTATGTTATTAAAAATGTCTGCCACTAGGAAGCAGAAGTCTACTGTACTGCAAGTTTTTAACGTAATAACAATGGATTATGTACTCAGTGTTACATGTTTTACCGTGATGGACATTACTGATGCAGTCCAGATAGCGCTTCCCACTTTCATCGAACAGATATTGTCCTCTTGCTCTTACTATTTTCACAGGATCTTCTGAATAAAACAGCCGCAATGACTGTCTGAAATCGCAGGAATTAATACGTGTCAGAAGCACTATGAGAACAAGAAAATACCAATAGGTTTTACTTTACATACCCAATTAACCTCTTCCTCATTGCGAGAGTTTCTTCTTTCTTGAGTTTTTCTAGTGCCATAACTTCCTTCGTCTTTCTATATTACATATACCGCAGACTGCCGTAGAAACTCACGGAGGGCTACGCTATTAGCGTGAGTTTAAAGAAATGAAGCTAAGTCAAAACATCCACCACGCATGCGTTAGTAGTAGAGTTGGGTTCACTTCCCACGGTTCATTCAGCTTAAGTATTTTGTAATGTTTTCCTTTTTTCCTGTTGCAGACATAGGTGGTCTATTTCGTGATTTCATGGATATTTTGTTATTCAACATATATAGGAAAAAATAATTTAGTTCGATATTGTTTTGTCAGTTTCAAACTCTGCTGTCGCTTTATTTAGAAGATGCTAACTGTGGGAGTGTTAGCAGGACAGAGACGCGCAAAGTAAGTGTAAAATGTGTTGCTACAAATTGGGTTTTGGTTATAATTACACCAACGAGTAAAAATTTAAAAGATACGCGCTGCACAAGCATTTTAGCGTTTCCTCAAATTGCAGTTTTTAAGGCAGTGCATTCAAAACACCTCTGCATTGGTATCGTCCAAAGGCTATAAATACTCCGTTAAGCCGCCGTCCACCCGGTGCACTCACTGTGCAGCTTCGGTTGCTAAGGAACCGCCGAATGCAGGTAATACATCAGGACAGCTGTAGCATGCTAGCCTGCAAACAGACTGCGTGACCAAGCTAACGCTGCAACTAATTTAGATAGACATTGCAAGCACAGCCGTTAAATTTATCAACGCAACTTTGCGTAGTGTTGTCTTAACCGACCGTGGTTACCAGCGGCTGCAATGACAAGCCATGAACCCGTAGCAAAGACAGAATGTAACAAACTAGTCATTGTAGTTAGTGCACTTCGTATCCTATCAGCTAGCTAACATAACCGGCTAATAACTTGGTGCTTCAAGGGCTGCATCGTGTTGTTGAGCTAGCTTACCGTATACCACCATGCTCACCTGCTACAGTCTGTGTCCGATTTAGCCAGTAAAGCTAGCATTATTTTTAACAAGTCCTTTATCGTCAATGACAACCAGCTGCTCTGCAGCTAACGTTTTGAGACAACGTTGTGAATTTTAGCTGACAAATACAAACGCGTTTTTTCTTCCCTTTTAAGAAAAAGGCAAGCTGCGCAACACAGTCCCAAACTTACTTGTTGGTTTACATGATTACCTTAGTATCCTCAGGTCACAACAGTGTAATTAATCCCTGTAGTGTTAATTAATGCTTTATGCTAGACATGTCTTGCTTGTCGTTGTGAAAATATCATGAAACGTAACGTCAACAGTAATGTTTGCTGACAACATTGAAAAGTGATGTTAAAGTTTAAAATTAGTTGCTGGTTGGAACCCTGCCTTTTGTCATTCTGTGGGGTTCAGGGCTTTTAACAGTGGCTTCTGCCACAGGGTGAAGTTTAGCCAGTGCCTCTTAAGTAGCTTGTCTTCTGGCATGTGGAACAAGGCTAGCAATGTAGCACCATGTTTGCCACAAGGAGGAAGGCCCTGGAGGCCACATCTGACTGCCAACACCAAATGTTTAAACTCTTCAGTGAGTAGGACTCTAAACGCCATCAAATGGTTTCATAAGACTAAGGGACATATTTTGAGTTTTTACAGATAAAGCATTAATATTTGGTTTAGTGTCCGCCTTAAATGTACTTTAGCCTTCGCACTCCTAAAGAGAAGAGCAAAGGCTCAAAGGCCATGTTACATTTTAGTACAGTAGACAGACTTTACATATTGGCTTGCTGTTTTAGTTTCATTGTGAGATGGACAGTTTTATGCCATGCAAAGGTTTCCTGGGATTCTTCACACAATGCAGTGCAGGTTAATCTTCAGAAATACTTGTGGATTCGGTAACTATTAGATTTTAAAAGGTATGTCTGTTTGCATATAAAGGAAATAGCTTTGGAATGTGTGTCACTGAAATGGACAGGCACTGTCTTGTGGCCTACTGATATATGGGTGCATCACGCCCTTTTGGCTTTGCCTCAGTAATATAAGTCCTTGAGACCTGGTCACTCTTCTTTTGTCCCTCTTGCAAAAATACTATGGCATGCTTCCAACCCCTTTCCCATTCATTTTTCACACACTTCCCCCATCCTTTCCCTTTTAGTCACTCCCTCCCCCTTCCATTCTCTTCACTACTCACAACTCTTGTCATTTGAGTTTATTGGACCCTGCTGACTTGATTGCCTTTGTATTGCCCCAAAGGTTTTCACTTGGGCCATACTATGCATTTTCTTTGAAATAACAGTAGTTCGTGTTTGTAGTCCCATAAAGAAATAGTCATGTTCACTTTCCACGATGGAATGTGAAGTGTTTCTTTGTTCAGGGTCTCCCTATGTCCATGTGTGCTCTCTGCCTTTGTGAACATGAACTTCTGCTTTTTCCTTTTTTTTCCCTGTGAACAAGGCAGCATATAGATTCCAGCCTAAGTCTCATAGAAATATCTGGTCCTTAGTACTCACTGTTCTTTTCCCCCCTCTCTCTCTGGGTTTTTCAACACAATAACAGCTATATCATATTAAAGTAAAGTTCCCATTAATAGCTTTTAGTTTCCTCTCCAGGTCCTGATGGCTCTGTCTGGCAATACCTATTGTACAGTTAAATGAAGTGTTTTCTGCAATCTATGTCCCGGTTAGAGTTAATTACTGACATTACTCCATTTTGGTTGTATTCTCATCTGTCCCTCTAGGTGGCATGAAGATGATGGTGGTGGCACAGTGAAAAAAGTTGGTCAGTCTGGCTGGTTGAGGTGTGGAGGGGACACCACATACCACGCCAGGATTCTGACTTGTAACATTTGTACTGCACTCAGTAAATCTCCTCAACTCCATGTCTCTCCCTGGATCGTAGCTACAATTATGGTGACACTTATCACAGAGCAACTCCGTAAGCAGAGTTTGGAAGAACCTTATCACAAGGCTTTCTCGTTCAATGTGAATGTGGTGAGTCAGATACCAAATTCATTTTATTTTGCTCCAAAATGCTCTTTTTTTGTCTTTGACTGACTTAGCTTTTTATGCTTTGATTATTAACATAAATTGTTGTGTTTGTTACAGTCATTACCTACAGTGGGATCCAGTCCCACTGTCTCTTGGAGTGCTTGTAGAACGACACAAGGTAAGTTGATTGAATTAAGAGCAGCATTTGCAGCTTGCAAAATCGGTCTCATGTCCATCTTTTGACATTTTCAGAGACCAGCTCAGCTGTATACCCATCATCCAAAGTCAATGTTTTTGAGGATTCCTGTGGACTTGATTCCCTGTGGCCTCCTTCCCGCTCTGGAGAACCCCTCCAAGGACCAGAGGTTTCCTTCACAGACAAGGCTTTCCAAAGCTCACCTCCACCCCCACCTTCAAAACGCCACTGCCGCTCCCTCTCGGTTCCAGAAGATTTGTCTCGGTGTCGCTCCACCTGGCATCCCAGTGCATCGAAGGTTTGGACCCCAGTCAAACGTGGCTGCCATAGTGGAGAAGCATCCAGTTCAGGCTCTGGAGCCAGCTCTTTGCCACTTTGCGGTCCCAGTTCGTCCTTCACCTCTTCTTCCATACACTCATCTTCCAGCCCTACGTTCTTTAGCTTAGCACTGTCATCTGACTCCCCTTTATCATGGGGCTTCCCCTGGGACCCGTGTGACACACTGAAAGGAGCCTGTTCTGCCTCCTTTGCCGCTCCTTCCTCCTGCTCCTCTTCGCCGGCCCCTCTCATTTCTCACTCAGTGTTGCAGCGCCGCTTCTCTCTCTCCCCTGTGCACATTCATAATGCCTCTGTGGCGGCCTTGCCCCCTCAGCCCTCCCCTGCTTCTGTGCTGACATATGGCTGCTCTGGCCTAGAGCCCCCAGCCCTGTCTCCATCTCCCACTTCAGCTTGCAGTACACCTTCCTCTTCTAGGCGTGACCTGCACCCTGCACTGCCACGATGCCACTCACAGCCCTGCGACATGCGCAAACCTCGCTTGAAGAGGCGCCATGACCCAGATGTTCTCCCCTGCCCAAGGCCAGGCCTAGATTTCAGCAAGATGACACAGGTGAGTAAGGTAGTCCAAAGGGTGTTCAAGGAATATATATGTTGAGTCATAGTTAGTAGTACTCCAAGTAATCAGTAGACATCCATTTGCTTGTGCCCAGAGTAGGCCTTGTACACAAGTTCCCTTTGATACACAACGCTTGCTATGATGCATCCTACTGAACACAGGTTCCTGCCAGAGTTCTACCTATTCAAAATGAGGCTCCTGTCACAGGTTAATCCCTGGTTGCATGTGCTTAATAAAGGAAAAATCACATGACCTGATACTCTCCAGGCAAAATCCTTAAATAAAGACTTTTTTGACAATCTGGGGGCCCCTTTTAATATTCAACTGATGGCTTATTTTGCTTTAATGATACATAACCATGACAAACCACTCAGTATGTACTTAAAGTTGGGTAGCTAGAAATTACAGCACATCAGGTTGCTGTCAGTCCTGGTGCTTGTCTATACATTCTATGTCAAATAGTCAGGTAGTCTGTTATTTATCTACATGTAATGGGACATCAGCCAAGTCCATTGCCTCTGTTATGCATTTCTCTATACTTAGCCAAGAAACAGGTAGTGCTGTCTGTGCAAACTTCCTGCTATTGATAGTAATGTCACCATTGCAACACCTGTATTTTGTTACTGCTTGGTGTGCATCCTGCTATATGAAAGCCGATATTTCATTGATTAAGAATGAGTTCATTTTAGAGGATGTTTATTGCCTTATACTAAATGATGCTATTGCCACATGAAAATCACGACACATCTTTCTCCTGTGTAGATTGGTAATCGTGAGAGCCTAGTGTGTGGACCAGGAGGCTGCATCGTTCCACTGTCTTCCCAGACAGAGCAGCGCTCGGCCTTCTCTCCTGCTGAGTTCCTAGGACGAGCTAGCATCGGGCCACTAAGTGAAAGTGAAGAAGAAGAAGAGGAGGAAGAAGAGGAAAGAAAAAGGACTGTTAAAGATGGAGTAAAAAAGATTGTTTTTGAAAGAGACTGCACAGAATTGGACTTGAATCTTATCGAAGAAAACTGACCACTCCTTGGTACTCCCAGTGTGTGATGACTGCATTCATAACCATGTTAAGCACACCTGTAGGCTTTGTGCGCCCTTCTGGCAGAGTCCTTGGGAACCTGCTGCCCTCCTGGGGCATATGGCCAGAGTTCGTAATTAAGAACCAAGCAAGTAGGAGCTAATATCAAATTACAATGCTATGATTGTAACACTTGAACTAGTTCACTATTCAACATCTCACAAAAATGTCAGTGCCTGCCTGTTCAGCACTCCATAGGGAAATGTGCATGAGCAAATACGCAAGTCTTCATGCGCACAGAATTTTGACTAATATTTGATATGAATACAAGTCTTAATTACCATTAGCCATTGGTATGCATCTTGATAGTCTTACATATCCTTATTAAAGAACACTATATACTGGAATAAGCAAAATGTTCCTGATATTTTCTCAAATTATTTCACAGGAAGTGCACTAAAAGCTAAATGTTAAATGGAATTGGGGTGGCATTCTTCAGTGCCCTATCAGATACTGGAGTAGTCTACTTTTGTATTTGGGTCTCTAAATTTGGACTTGATTAATTGTGAGCTGTTAAGGGTAGACATAATCTTGCCATGTGTAGCTTAAAATATTATTGGAGCAGGCCAAACTGCATAAGAATCCATATGTACATGCTCTCCTGTTGGTATAACAGTAGTAGGTATACATTCCAGGACTCTGCACTTCTGTAAATCCTAGACTCTAAAGATGCATCTTAATTTTTAATGCTGATCATTGATTTCAGCTTGTCTCTCTGGAATAAATCTTGATTTTCAAAGGGAAGCTTTTCTTGTAATGGCAAAAGAAAAAAAAAAAGGAGATACCCCCCTTTCAGTTCATATATCCTTTTTTTTTTTGTAATTTCTGTAACTGCTTGGACATTATCACACCTTGTGAACAGTAATACTAATGATACTGTTAACTGACCATGCCTTAAGCTTAAAATACAGAGTTATTGGTGCTCTGGTCTTCTTTTCACAGCCAGACATTTTTGCAATCTCCATTTGCAATGATTCAGATATTATTGAGCGCGTGGCACATAATAGTCGGTTGAATAACTGAGTCAGTGCTGCAGCTGGACTCCACAGGGCACAATGTAACGTACTGTACGGCGGTGAGAGTGGAAACACACGTCCAGCCAATTCTGTGAGCGTATGTGACAAGGGCAGTAGTGATGCGGATGATTTGGTGGCCTTTAAGAAATGATTTTTCATGTTTTCAGATGGAAATATAACTGTTGCACAATTTATGTACAAATAAAATTTAATAAAGAGTTTTTTGTTTTTTTTTTCCTAAAAGTGTGTTGTCTTTCTCTTATAAATTATTTATCCTGCTTGTGGACAACTGTAAGAGCAAGTCAGAGTGCTGGAGACTATTAGATTATTGTGACACCTAGTGGCAGATTTCAATATAATTCTGCTGATACAGAAATATACGGTGTTTAGTCCATTCAGACTTTTTAAACAGTAGGCATTTCTGCTCAGCACACACATTTAGATTTTATGTTTAGCTAAAAAAAAAACAGGTTTCGCAAAAACTTTATTGCAGCGATCTGTATCATAAATAGAAGTGCGAATTAATGTGTGGATGTTTTGAACACATTTCACAGCGGTTCGACAAAAAAAAGTTTTGATAATTGTGCAAAGCAGACTTGTTGCACAGAAGAGTCTTACACGTCTTTGTCGTTCCGCCGTGGAAGGTGAGGGCGCTCCTTCCAGTCCACGGATGCTTTTTCACGACTGTCTGACCCCCCCATCAACAAGCCACTTCCTCTTTTGTCTAATTTCATGGCGATCGGGAGAGAGGGAACACCACCGACGCACGCACACTGTCTCAGCACTCCTCAAAGAGTTTATTCGGGGTAAATAATGGTCATTTTTTGCTAGATTCGTTCATTGTTGTACAAATTAGATCTGGATGAATTCAGTAATGTGTGCGAGTGACGCTTCTAAGTAGAATTAATCATTTTTTTTCAGCTTCTGGGTCAGATATTTCACATTGTAGCGCCACTCGCTGATAACAAATCGGACGAAATGGGCTCCCCCTCTGCTCGCATCTCTCCCACACACTCAGCGGCACGCTAGTTAACGGCGCTGGCTAGGCTAACGTTAGCAACGCTGCAAACGCCTCATATATGTAGTTGTGGAATTGGGTTAAATTAACACACATCACTAATTCTTGACAGCTAAATTACACTAAATGGTATGTGACTCCGGGGGTTGGCAAGAATTTGTAGTTTCCATTCAAATGTTAGCCACTTAGAGTCCTCAAATGTTTGTGTTTGGGTTAGCTAGCCACCATCGGGTAGCTAGCTGCCGCTTAGTTAGCATTAGCTCCGATCGCGGCTCAGAAGTTAATGTTAGCTGAACTAGCTCAGAGTGGGCAAAGTAATGGTGATGGATTCATCAAATACGCGAGATAAGTATTTGTAGTATTTGCCTAGTATCGATAACTATTATCCACCATTCATTACAAGTCCTCCGGGGAGCTTGGAAACGGGCTAGCTAGCATCGTAAGCTAGTTAGTTAACGGTAACTTGGCTGTTGACGATAGGCTGCATTGCTATTGCTATTTTCACACCATTAAGTTGTCGCTAAGGTTGTTCGCTCATAATTGTCTATTAGTGTTAGCGATGGAGTACGTGGTTTGTGCTCTGTGTGAGTGTTGGTATTCTTGCAAGCTAAACAAAAGTTGACTAGAAAGTTGGAAACTGTGGTCAGGAGCCCCAACAGGTTTAACTGTTAAAGGGAGGTGAATGGCTTTAAGCCGGTATGAGCCGTTTCCCAAAGAGTCATGAGACTGTGGAAGATTGTGTTTTGTTAGCTGCAGTGTGTGCAATTCAGCAACATTAAAATGTATTAACGTGGTTTTGTTGTTTTCTTTACAAGGCACGTGCATAGCTCCCAACAGGATGACATTATAATGATCTAAAGTCAGTATACCTTTGCTTTGTTTACAGTGTAAACTAAGTTGGCAACCTGACTGGCACAACACACATTGTTCTCCAGGTAAGTGTCTGAAGTCCTCCACTGTACAAATAAGCCTTAACAATGTATTTCTTTAGATATAATTTGATGTATGTGGTGTTTCTCCCCCGTAACTGTAAAATATCTTTGTTCAGCCTTCAAGTTCATTGTCTTCACGTTTCTGTTTTAATACTTATAAACTGATATGTTACATTTTCGTGCCAGGTGAATTTGCTCACTGTTGATTTTTAATACGCAAATTAGTACTTCATGGTATTTCTACGAGCCTCAGTCGAAAGCAACTTCTCTTTATGTTTCTTGAAGACATTTCACCTCGTCTGTTCTGAGGTGAAATGTCGTCAAAAACAGAAAAGGACAAATCAGGCTGTTTTTTTTTACTGAAGCTATTTGGACAATAATATTTTGTTAAAATCTGCACACATTGACCACCTGAAGTCTTTCAGCATCAGCGAACACATTGTATTTTTCCCAGTGGCGATCTTCTCTCCCTTTACGGTTCCTGGAGATGTTGGACGACGTCTCCGAGAACCGAAAAGAGAAGTCACGTTGCCTTTTACTGAAGCTCTTAGGATTTTAAAGTTGTGATTACGTGTCCCTCTGAACACAAAGTTATTCAGGTAGTCACAGATATAAACAAGCAAGTGTTTTTCTTGTCTGACTTGATTTCCCATTTGTGTGCAGGTGATACTAAGTGGACATCGTTAACGGGGCCCCGCTAGCACTTGGATCTGTTCTTCTCTGTCCCAGGTTAAGACTACTTGGTCTATGGCTCTGATGGACAAGCACAAACAGGTCAAGCGGCAGAGACTTGACCGCATTTGTGAGGGTGAGAGTTCATAAATACTTTACATGAAGTACGAGTAAATATTTAGGAGACTGTGTGTATGAGCAATATGTTGTTCTTTTCAATTATTATAATCAAACTTATCCGTACTTGTTACAAAAAACACATAATTTTTATGCTTTTTGCTGTGTCCACACACCACATTGTTTTAGTTGCAACCAGCAACTGCGTTAAGTGTGTAGGCAGACCATAGAATTTGGAGATTTTATGTATTTAAACCAGAAAAAAAAGTCATATATTGATCATAGTTTGTGCAGTTTTTGAAGCTATATGTTGATTATCTCCTTGCTATTGGAGCTGCAATTATTAATTGATTAATTATCAACTGTTAAATGGCTCACCGACTAGTTTGGTAATTATGTTGTCACTTTTGAAGAGAAAAAAGTTTCAATTCTGTGATTCCGGCTTCTTAAATTTGAATATTTTCTGGCGTCATGCTTCTCTATGACAGTAAACTGAATGTGTTTGGGTCTCTGGGAATATTGTGGTTGAGGTGAAATTATTGGCGTTGTTTGAGGGTATTGAAATGACACCAATTAACATACTTGTCTGCTGGGTTCCTCACCTGATGTAGTGACCTTGATTTTACATTTTTCTCAGCCTTTGACAGAGGAGATGATTAATGCTTGTTAAACATCTTCATGAACTCGCTCAGCAAGAAATGCATTTCACACTGAAGCCAACAGGATAAAGTCAACTTTTTATGTTTCTGGGATATGCAGTCAGGGGTGGTCGGTGCAAACTTCTACTAGGGGATGTATTTTGAGCTGTAGAGAGTCGATGATGGAGATCAGACATAATGGTGCACTAAAATGGAGGGAACAGTCTGGGAGAGTCTCTGGAGACGGGTGAGAGGGAGAGGACAAGGTGAAGGGTCGTGGCCGCAGCTACAGGGAAACAGGCCAGCTGTCTCTTTAAAAAACGACAACAGCGCAAACCGCCCTCGGCCTTAGCTTCGGCTATGCTAATGAGGTTAGTGCTGGTTGGCTGGCTCTCAATGGCGCTGCCTGTGATTGGAGGCTGGCTGTGGGGGAGGGTCTGGGCGTGGATGACAGCTGGGATCCAGTCAGCCAAGAGCAGGCTGGCAGAGAGAGAGGGAGGAAAAAAAAAGAGCGATAGAGGGAGAGGGAGAGAGGAAGACAGGCTGACAGACTTCATAATGCAAGGTTAGGCCCGGTGCTCATGTGTTTTCTATTTTGGCATGTGTTTTTGAAATTTGTGAAGTGTGGTGGTGGGAGAGATTTAAGGTTTGGGTGTGGTGCAGCTATGTGTGTGTGCAGTTTCCCTTTTATGTTCAGTGCGTGTTGGTGTTGTCGCAGCCGTTGAGAAGGAACTGAATAACCGTGTGTCTAGCTGTGTCTGGGTGGAGTACTGCTGCTTGCTGCATTATCATCGTTCGCTGCCCCTCCCCCCTCACCTCTTACTCTAACTACAGCCAGAGGGAGAGAGGAGAGGAGGAGGGAGTGAGGGCAAAGAAAGGGAGAGGGAGGGAGAATGAATGAATCACTGAATGAATTGTATTGTGTGTGCGGCCATGCTTGCTCTTCGTAGGCCTTGGGTATGCCAATGTCCTTTACTCAAATTACTCTCTGTGTAGGCCTACTTGGATATATATTTTTCACAGGGGGTCTTTGTGACAAACCCCTTCGGGTTTTTCTACATCGTAAGAGTCTCTTTGTGCTCTTAGCTTGTTGGAATAGGCATGATGGCATTTTTCAGCCATTTGCAATGAATATGAACCACACAGCTAAATGGAGAGCATCATATCGTACGTTGTATAAGGACGCCAGGATATAGTTACATGTCTTTCTTTCGTCTTTACCCCCGTATGCATTTAATTCTTGCGTTGGGAAACGCTCAGACGTCAGAGGAAGTGTTCACAAATATTTGTTTTCCACTCTCAGCTACCAGCTCCCTTTCCTCCTCAGCGGTCTCACCATTACGTCCTGCCCTCTGTCCAAGTAAATGTTCCAGCTAGACACACTCCCCCACCGCGGGACACACACACACACACACACACACACACACCTGTCACCCAGCAGGGACGAGATAGTGTGTGCTTGTGCATATGTGGAGTTAGTCCAATTCTCGCACTGCTGAGAGGACCGTCAGACTTGGACAGATTTAAAAAAGCGTTTTACTGATCTGCTGTTTTTGCAGTGCGTTGGCATTTCTTTGTTTTTGACATGCAGGGCCTTCTTTTGTTGGAAGAATTGTAAATGACCACAGTGCAGATGGGCCAAATGTGCAGATGTTTGCCACCAAGGTGTGCACGCGTGTGTTTGTATGTGTCCGAAGCAGAAAAAATAGGAAGAAGGGACTCTTCCAGACACGAGAATTTAGGTCATGACTCAGACCCCCTCATGAACCCCCACCACCTCCTCCCAGAGACCCCGCAGTTTTCTCCACCCCTCCCCCCCCCCAGCCGCCATACTCCATCACCTCTCCCACTACTCTCCCAGCCCCCCTCCTTGCTGTATTTCCTCTCCTCATACAGTAGGCAGGTCAAGTTCCCAGAATTAACACTTAACCAAAGGGGTCCGATTCATTAACCAGGGTCAAGGCTCCCCCTTATGAGGAGTCTGTGACCCGAGCAGCACAGAGATGCATCTATGAAGACCTGACAGTGCATGTTGGTTACATGCAGAACTGGAGCTCAACACTGTATAGGCCTGAAATCCGCATGCTCTCCTCATCACAGACTTGGCTACACATTACTTTTGTAACATTAAAAACACTATGTGGGAACACACACAAATTGTCCTGGTAGTTCTGTTAGGGTGCTGGTGGATTTGTTGGAAAAAGGTGGTCATAAACGCGTGAGTTATTATTGTCTAAGGAGTGTGGCACTTAGCCATGTGTTCAGGGGATTTTTGTGAGAGTATGATGACTTGTACCACGTCGGGTAGTCCAGACATAGGAAATGCAGACTGTTGACTCACTGACCTCTAGCTTAACTTTACTGGCTCTGAAATGCAAGTGGTCGGTCGCTGTGTTTGCTGAGTGTCATCAACAAGTCACTGCAGAAAGAAAGGGATGAGAAGCTTGTGTTAAAAAAATAAAAAGCTTTTTCAATAACAAGTCTTCACATGCTTCTAATGTGTTTTTGTATGTTTTTGATTTGTGGTTATGCCCTGATTTATTTAATGCACGTTTATGTCTAACAACTCTGTCTTGCTGGCTGACTCAGGTATCCGACCCCCCATCCTGAATGGGCCAATGCACCCGCGGCCCCTGGTGGCCCTGCTGGATGGCCGCGACTGCACTGTGGAAATGCCCATCCTCAAAGATGTGGCCACAGTGGCTTTCTGCGATGCCCAGTCCACACAAGAGATCCATGAGAAGGTAGGGGGGTTGCACACCCACACACACGTCCACAACCTGTGCCGACAAAACACTGTAGCGCTTATTTCATTCTGTCGTCGTATGGAAGAATTTCTTAAAAAATGCTGCCAGCCCTATTCTCTTATTAGGGGGTTTGGATTTGATAGAACAATACATTTTGGGAACGCAAGATCAAAAATCTCAGCAATACTGTCTCTACCCCTGCCTATCAATTTTAATGAAGATGATATACAATTCTTGAAGTGGTGTAATACTTAAATGTTAAGTAAAAATTAACATTTCAGATATTTGCCTAATTTAAAATTCATTTTTTCTTTTGTAGGTGCTAAATGAGGCAGTGGCCGCTCTGCTGTACCACACTATCACTCTATCCAGGGACGACTTGGAAAAGTTTAAAGGTCTACGAGTAATTGTCAGGATTGGCTCCGGCTTTGACAATGTTGACGTCAAAGCAGCTGCTGAGCTTGGTGAGAAGCTAGAGCTTGTAACGTATTCTCAAAGTCACACAGTCTAACACAAAAAAAAACAAAACAAAAGTAGAGTAACACACAGAGTGGTTAACATTCTTTTCCTCCTGTCAATGGTCATCCAGGCATTGCTGTCTGTAACGTGCCAGCGGCCTCAGTGGAGGAGACGGCCGACACTTCGCTATGTCTGATTCTCAACCTGTACAGGCGAGTCACCTGGATGCACCAGGCTCTAAGGGAGGGAACCCGGGCCTCTAGTGTGGAGCAGATCAGGGAGGTGGCTGGTGGTGCTGCTCGCATCCGGGGCGAGACGCTGGGCATTATCGGTCTAGGTGAGTGAAGTTCAAGGACAAGGGTGGCTAGAAAATCTGGCATTCAAATTGTTGTTTTCATGTAAGATTGTGTTGGACTTAATAGTAATTCAACAATTGCTCTGTGATGAAGTGCATTAGTCGGGGATCTGTTTAATCCAAGCTCTTCAGTTGATGGGCAAACTGTTGAATATTTTTGTACTATTTTGTGCACTGTGGTGGCTGAGGATATCCCTACAATCTCCTTCCAGGTCGTGTTGGTCAGGCGGTGGCTCTGCGGGCCAAGGCCTTTGGCTTTGGCGTGATCTTTTATGACCCCTACCTGCCTGATGGTGTGGAACGCTCGCTTGGCCTGCAGCGAATGGCCACCCTGCAGGACCTGCTCATCCACTCTGACTGTGTATCCCTGCACTGCAGCCTCAACGAGCACAACCACCACCTCATTAATGACTTCACCATCAAACAGGTGTGTGGATGTGCGCTGAATACATAAAAAAAATATATATTTCAAGTATTTTGATCATTGGTTGCTATTTTTCAAACCCTACTACATTTTAGGATGTTTAGAGGAGATGGGATCTATTTAAGACGTGCATGCGTTGTCTTGCTTGAAATCCTGTAAATATCCTGCATTTTTTGCTGTTGTTAGTGAGATTAGGTAAGATAGATTTCTGACCTCTAAAAATGTCATGCAGCAATGGGATTGAATTTGGTTAAAATTTAATTTCATCTGGATTTTTAAAAATCATTTCCACTCGGTTTAGAATTCTTTCTTGTGTGTGAGAAGATGGAAAAAAAAAGTGTGTTCGCAGGGAGGCTTAGCAGACTTTGGATTAGAATTTATGGTGTAAATAATGTAAGTTGCTGCTCTAGTACGTTGCCTCTTTGTAACGTGAGCCCATCCTTTTTTATTATTGAATTGCAAAATGAAGAAATTTATTCTGCAGCCTGTTAAGTCTGAACTCTGAACCATCTATTAGACCAACTGGTTGGTATTCTACAAAAAACAGGAAGAAGCTCCAATGCTGCTGCCAATATTTCGAGTTCTATTTTTGTATGCAGGTTTAAATCCAGACATTTCAAACATTTGCTGAACAATGTTTGAGTGTAATCATTGAGAAAACTCGGCCTGAACGAACACTGCTTTTGTTTTGCATGACTGCCTGTATTATAGGCCCGGAGAACAGAAACGGAATACAATTGTGCCAAATTGTGACGGTCTGTGCTGGTTTATTTTGCTGCAGATCAGAGGTTTCAGTCTCCTCTGCTGAGGTCCACTCCACATAGGTTAATCGTATTGTTTGTGACACTGACACAGATGCGTCAAGGAGCCTTCCTGGTGAACACGTCAAGAGGCGGTCTGGTTGATGAGAAAGCACTGGCTCAGGCCCTGAAGGAGGGCCGGATACGAGGGGCCGCCCTGGACGTCCACGAGACAGAACCCTTCAGGTAACAGTGATACGCCATGGTAGCTCTGGCTGTCCCACATACACCCACTGATGTGTGTGATGAACAGCCTCATTACTCCTGTCTCTAACACCTTTACCCCTTCTCTACAGTTTTTCAACAGGCCCTCTGAAGGACGCCCCGAACCTGATCTGTACCCCGCACACATCTTGGTACAGTGAGCAGGCCTCCATTGAGGCTCGCGAGGAGGCAGCCAGGGAAGTGCGCCGGGCCATCACTGGTAAGACATGTACATTTGTCAGCATGTAAGATCACGTAATGTTTGAGGAATTTCAGAAATAAGTGCGTTCATAAAAGCAGTTTAATAGATTAGTGATCCCCTGTATACCATAGCTGATTACACCATATACTGTAGATGCTCTACAATAACCCCACTGATCATACAAAATAACGATTAAAATCAACTTTTTGTATGTTGTCATCAGGTGACCTGCTGTTTAACCTCTTGGAATAGCTGAGCTGAGTCATTTTTTTGAAAACTAGTCAAAAATAAATATATATCACAGAGATCAACATTTTGTAATCAAATTGCTTGTTTTATCTGTCTAGCTGCCAAGATATTCACTCAACCTCATGGTGTTTGACAGCTCTGGTTCACGTGTCTCGCTAACATACTCTGTAAATGCTCATGTCCCAGTCTTGAAATAGCCCTTTCAAATTGTAGAAGCTGTAGTCAGGGATACGCAGAAATGAGAAGCCTTCAAACTGCATTAAATAAGAGCAGTAATGAGGCTGATTAAAAGCTGTAAAAATAACACGCACTTCAACAAATCAGACTAATGTATTCTCTGCGGACATGCTGTAGATGCTTTGGTTTGACAGTTTCTATTTGCAAACGACATTACACCAGAAATTGAAGCAGTCATCCAAAAAGTGATGTCCTGTGCTGCATGAACTCGTGTTTGAGTCTAAAATTAGGGATGCAACTTTAAACAATTTCCTTATTCAGTAGCCAGTCATGTTAACAATCAATGATCAATTAAGCATTAAAATGAAGGAAATGCAGTGGACGTTTTTCCTAAATACTGATAAAATCGTAAACACCAGGCTATTTGATTTACAAATTATGTAACATTTACTACTTCATTTTTTACTTTATTTATGACTGCTTTGTTGAAATTTGGCCCAACATAATATTGAAAATTGTGGTCATCCTGGAGGAATGCTGAGATTTCAGTTTATAAGTGCGTTTATAAACTGTGACATAGTGACACAGCATAGTTATCCTGGCTTCAGTCTCTGTACAAGAACACTGGCTGAAAGCCGTGAACCACTACAGAAGTCTCTTGTCATTATGGCCCATAGCTCGCTGAACTCCCACATACTCTTGGTCACACACACAACAAAAATCATCTCACCACTCCACAATAACCGAAAATGAAAAACAACAGAAATACCAATCACAAAACTATTTATTTAACAATTTTGATTTAAACATTGACATTCCTGTTGTTTTTTGTGCTTGCCAAAATGTGTGTTTGTCTATCATCCAAGTGACTACCTCCTCAATTTGCTAAAAATTACCGCTGCAAACAAACTGCAGTCTTCCACTTTAAATAGTCTGAAACTTTATTTTTCTCTTTACAGCAGTTTGATTTCACAATAATCGTCACACCTGATCTTCCTGGTGGAGTGTTCACGGCAGTTAATGTCAGTCCAGCTGCTGGTAACAGCTGCTCAGTTGGAACACGTGTCCGCAAATACTGTCGCAGCAACTTTATCAGTCTGTCCGTTTTTACTGCCACCTCTAAATTATGTTCAGACTCAGTCCAGAGCGCCATCGAAACACTTTGTTTTAGTTTGAATGCTGTTGGAAACATGTAATCAAAGTCCTGCTACCCCTGAGCGCTAGCAGCGTTGCCAGCTATAGCTGCTTTCTGCTGAAAGACACTCAGCTGTCGGCCTGGGTTAGCATTTCAAAAGCTAACTTAGAGATAGCATGACAGCTGCGGGACATCTTTTTCACAACTTTATGCTCTAGAAATCATTCGCATTGACTGTCACCGTTAGCAGTTAGACAGTGAGAGGTACGCTCTTAAAGGCAGTCAGCAACAAGCATCAACTGTACGGCCCTCGTCTTCTGGCTTATCAGTTTATATATTTTTATCAATTAAATTATCAACTGCAATGAATCAATTAACATCATGAACACCCCCAGTGTCAACCTCGATGCAGTGTTAATGGTCTGTTTCTCCCTCTGTAGGGCGTATCCCTGACAGTCTGAAGAACTGTGTTAATAAGGAGTATCTGATGGCAGCCTCTCAGTGGCCCACCATGGAGGCAGCTACTGTTCACCCAGAACTTAATGGAGCCACCTACAGGTGAGACGAGTGGATGTAGAGGATGAGAATTGACAGCGATTACACATCAGGCTTTGTTATGAAGCTGAAGATAGATGTGTAAATGATTATTTTTAATGTTTTTATTTATTTTACCAGAGCAGTTCTCACAGATTCTTCTGCTGTTTTTTTTTTGTTTCAGATTTCCTCCCGGTCTGATCAATGTTGCAACAGGGGGTCTCCCAGGAGCCGGCGCAGGCGTTGAAAGCCTGGTTTCAGGAACCCTGGCACATGGCATCGCCCCCGTCTCCCACCCTCCTCACGCCCCGTCCCCGGGGCAGCCTACTAAGGCCGAAGCCGACAGAGACATCCCCTCCGACCAATAGCCCCCTCCGCCGCCGCCAGCACATTCCGTCATCTCTGGAAACCAACCCCCACCTCCCAGGATCAGACACAACCCGACCCTCCAGTACATCGGCAGCACCAGTTTGACCTGACGTGGATCTACAGTCTTTTCTCAGATCACATAACCAGCCCAAGAGTGACCTATCCACAGTTAGCCCCATCCCTCCCACAACCCCTAGAACACACACATCCTCCATCCTCATCTCACCCGTCACCCCCTCCCCCCCCTTTTCACTCCCCCAACTACGTCAGCAATAACTGTGTTCTCAAGGATTCAATGATTGGATTGGCTTATTTCCTTAGTTGGCTGTTGTTTTAAAGGAAAGTTGATCTGTTGTGGTTCTAGGTGTTAATGTTTGTTTGTAAAAAGAAAAAAATAGCATTTCTGACATGAGGCTTTACAGTCTACCGCCTCCTGCAGTCCTCCTCTGGTTCTGACCACTAGAGGCCCAGAGGCAGAAGGGTTGAAGCCCCACTTTGTACATTAATGGCTCATGTTACTGCTCTCTTCTTCTTCTTCTTTTCGTTTTTTTTTTTTTTTCTTTTCCCCCTCACCCCCTCCACCCTTCTTATGATGGGGGGAAAATGTGTACTGAAGCAAACCAGACAGATTGACAAACAGTACATCCTGTCCTCCCCACCGATCATCTAGCTACCCCTTAGCCCATTTTTGCCCTCATCTCTCCCTGGCACTGTCGTCAGCTCGCTCAGCAGAGGAATCCAAAATGCGGTCAGTGTGGAGGTCCCCGACTGTCAAATGTTTTATCTTCTCAGCCCATACTTAAGCTTTAGAGAGTGATGCCCAGTGTTTTTTTTTTGTTTTTTGTTGTCAAATTTGTGTAGTTTTTAGGACCCTGCTTTACACATGCTTTGCCCCCTCATGGATTATTTTATCATGAGATGATAGCTTAGGAGCATCATATCAGAGAGCACCTCGGCGCCTTGGTATGAATTTCCATCTCCTGCCAGCAGCCAGAGTGCAGCGTGTCAAGTCTTGTGCTCACGGTGCCCGCAGAGGCCTCGCCAGCAGAGGGCGCCGCCTGGCTGCTCAGAGCCCAGAGAGTCGCCTGCAGCTCATTTCAGGTCAACAGACGGACAGTTCCAGGTTAGCTTCAGTGACGACACACACTGCCGACATACATTCAAAACACAGGAGGGGTGACCAGGGATCGACTACCGCCTTATTGTTTGATAAGATCTCGCCACACCCTGCAACCCCCCC